TTTCATCTTTTATAATACAAAACTAAATCTTACGATCCTCTGTAAATTTTCCATAATATATATAAATCTGAAATTTTTTATTCTTTTTTATAATACAAAACTTAAATCTTACGTCCTCTGTACAATTTTCCATAATATATATATATATTATATATATATATATATATATATAATATATTAATTATATCCCCAAATTGGGATACAACATATCATAATCAAAACAAGTATTAATAATAGTTTGTATTAACTGATTAATTATGTTCGATTATCTAATAGGATTGTAAAGATTCTAGATTATTTATATTTAATTCTTCATATATATCCCAAATTGGGATAAAATATATAATCAAACAAGTATTAATAATGTTTGTATACTGATTAATTATGTCGATTATCTAATAGATTGTAAGATTAGATTATTATATTTAATCTCAACAAATCTTGCTATTGCAATGATTCAAAATAAACATACCTTTAAACTTGAACAAATTAAAATACACCAATATTAACTTTGATTGTTGCAAATCATAAGTTATCATTTTCATGAGAGTGGTAGAACGAAATGGTGCTGATAATGTGTTATAAAATAATATAAAATTTGAGAGAGAAATAAAGGGAGAATAGAGAGAATAATGAGAGAATATGAGAGTATATATATTATTGATGAGAAACCACATATAATAGTTACATGAGTGGAACACTAATAGAGTCCTACACAAATTAAGAAGAAAGAGATAGAGTCCTACACAAATTAGGAAGACAGAGTTTGCAGTAATTAAGAATACAAGCTTCTAATCCATATAGGCATCAACTTATCTCATAACATAACCTAATATGCATATTCTTTAATGATATTATAATTAAACTTTATACTTTACCTAGTAATATTGTTATTATAATTACTATAATGTTGAAATATACTTATAGCCTTTTAATTACTAATTAGTTTTATTCCAAATAATAATAATAATAATAATAATAATAATAATAATAACTATTTTACTATCAAAACTATCAATCAATAACGTGGGACCATTAACATGGTTAAAGCTAAATTGTTTGAAGTCTAAACACAGCAAGGTACTCTTTCTACTACTATGGTTAATATAAAAATGAAATGGATTCAAAATAAATGAAATAGTTTTCGGTATAGAACACTCATGTCGAAAAAAGGATGTCGAAAAAGGATTCGAACCTTTTTTTTAATGGGTTATTCGCCCATTTTATTCAATGCTAGGTCGATAAATCTTTGCATTAATAAATTTCTTTTGGATTTGAATTTAAAGAAAAAAAGAAAACTTATTTTACTGACAATTCTTGTTTGGGTCAGAAGACAATTACTTGTTTGGTCAGAAGAGTCCTCTGAATATTTCGGTCTTGGATTAGTGATTAGTTTCAATTTTTTTTTTGGAATATGAATTATGAATAAAGAAGAGAGGATAGGCTCGTTTCAGTTAAACAAATATGAGAATTTTCCTATAAGTAATTAAAAAAAAAAAGAGCAAAACTAGGTAGTTTAAGTTTAGGGTTGGTATTTTAATGATATAAAAAACATTGCATTCTCAATAACATTTTATTATCCTTTGCCAAACACTCTGCCCTAGGGATGACAATTTAACCCAATTCAACGAGTTCGCAACCCGATTCGACCTGATTTTTACGGATTTAGATAGTGTATAAATGAGTTTGGACAGTGATTTCACTGCCTGCGTCGGGTTTGGATTATATTTAGGTTTAGGAGGTGGGGTACCTGTTTGACTTAAAAGCAAAATATTTGAGAAAGGTAGAATTATATCTTGACCTCCATATAAGAATTAAGCTTCTTTATGAAACAACTCGAATTTATATTTTTAAAGATTTTCCAATTAAATTTAATGTACCGACAGCCTGAAAATTCATAGTAATATTTTAGTGCGAGCACTGTGAGAAACCGAAGTGTGAACACTGTGAGAAAACGAACCGAAAACTGATTGAAAAAGCCGTAAACCAATTAAAAATCGAAGATTTGGGCCGAATCGAACTGGTTCGACCCAAACCATCTAGAATTTTCTTTTTCCTCTATTTCTAGCGCACACCTCACCACCTCACTCCCCTTCCATTCCTTGCGCTTCCCGACACCGGCGACACATCTCCGGCGACACCATCTCCGCCACCTTCTTCTTCTTCTCCTTCTTCTTTTCTTTCTTTTCTTTTCTTTCTTTCTTTCTTCTTCCACATTGCGTTTCTTGGCGAGAGGCAGAGTCGCAGCAGAGTCGCGCCACCCACGCCATCGCGCGCCATCGCCGTTCCTCGCTGCAGCTCGACGTCGCAGCAGCTCCGCCAGTAGCTCCGCCCTCTGTTACGCCAGTTGCAGCCACACACAGTTCCAGCGCAACATTAGATCGCGTCACCGCTCGCTCCACCACCAGATCGCGACATTGCCTAGCCCTGCCGCCACTCCAGCGTGCCTCAGCGTGGCCCTACCGACACCAGGAACCCAGCCTGTCCAGCTTCTTCGCACCTCGTCTGCTTCCTTTGCCACTATTAGTCGGACCCGGCCACTTCCGACGCGCGTAGCTCCGATCCAGACGAGCAACTCGCCGACTAGTATAAAATTCGAACAGAGATTATATTTTGGGGTAACAAAATTAATTTTAAATAATTTTTAGTTACTTGAAATTAATGTTATTATGGTAGTTGATTAACTTTTATTATTTGTAGTTAATTAATTTAGTTTAATTTATTTAGTAATTGGTGAGTAAGTTTAATTAAGATTTTATAATATTAGTGTTGCATTTAATTAAGGAACCTTGGGATAATGATATGTTTAATAGAATTAAACGTGGTAGATTAAGGTAGTTTAGGTATAATGTTATTGTAAATTTTAAATTTGAATTGTGTGGGGGATGCTTGAGATTTGAAAGGAGGATGGGAAAAATTTTATTTTGACTTGATTGCGCGATGGATGGGCTGTGTGGGTTTGGAGTTATTAGATAAATTGTTGAATATTTTTAACAAGTGGATAGTCCCAATTTTTAAAAGGGAGATTGCTGCCGATTTTCGGAAGAAAATAAAATGAATTTCGATAGCAAATAAAATTCATTATAGAAAATTTATTATTTATAGAGAGTAAATTATTGATAGAATTAAATAGGTTAAGATGTAGTAGTGTGATGAATAAAATAGGTTTTTAAATTAGAAAAATTTAGAATATAAAATAAAATTCTTAGAGTGGTAAAGAAATATTTTGTCTGATAGAATTATTTTCTTTTGTGTCGTTCTTACTTTGCTTAAATCGCCCGGGTCCATCTAGTGCTCCTCCAGGACAGAATCAAAGCTAGAACTTCGCTCTCCATCGCAGTGAGTAATAATAAATAATGCATATCAACATGCATTTGCATAGCATTTTTTTTACAAACCTTATATATATATATATTTTATATTAAAGCTCATATTTACTTTATGTTGCATAATTGTATATTTGGATGTATTTGGTGTAGTACGTTGAAAGAATTTGTTTGAATAATTGTGGCTGTGCATATATTGTGATTTGTTTGTGTGGGAATTTGGGATGAAAGTGGGTCACGCATGGGAAACTGTGAGACCGTACCGGTTATATAGAATCCAATATGATATCGTTAGCTGGATAAATGGGATGATCGGACGCCCCCTGGTTGTGCACGTACCATTACCGTTAACCCGCGCGTATGGTTACCACGGGTTGGCTTCTCGTCGGTTGCGGCACACGGACAGTCTACGATTTGATTCGCAAGCCACGCAGGGTGGCCTCCTGTTGTGAGCGCTTGATGATCTAGATTGGATGGAGAACCACCGGGTTTGCCTCCTGGTTTGGTATGAAAAAGAAAAGAGAGGATAGAAAAACAATGAGGGGCTGGTAGTGAGGATTAAGGAGCCGGTCGGCCAGTAATGGGATCGGCTTCCTGGTGCACATGTGAGAGGATGAGCCGCATGTGGGAGGACCGGCTTGCATCGGGGGTTTGGTGACTCCACTGACTAATTTCCCCACGTGATGTGAATTATTTGAAGGTGATTATTGTTTGTGGGTGCTGATGTTATGCCATATGATGATTGTTGTGTGATCATTCGTATATTAGGGCACTTTCGCGTGACCTGTATGTGGTGTGTATTAATTTATTTAATTATTCCACTGAGTTACAAAACTCATCCTTCTCTCCAAAACTTCTTCAGGTAGTTAGGTAAGTTGCCTGATTAAACGGGAAGCCTCTGCAACAATCTTTCTCCGCAGGTTTTATAAATGTAAACTTATATTTGGTGTTATTTAATTTCGGATGTATAATTATTCTATTATCAGAATATTATTGAACTCCGCAGTTATAAGGATTGTGGCATTTAAATTGGGCCTTTTCGTATGCGTTACTTATGCGTTACTTTTTATAAATGGTATGGAATGTATGAGTTGAGTAATTAGGCTTACTACGGGCCTCGGGAGCCTTATGCTTACCTGGGCCCTAGTGCTAGTCCGGCCCACGGAGTCGGGTCGTGACAAAGGTGGTATCAGAGCTTAAGTCTATGATTTTAGGAATGACTGCGGAGTTATTTCTGTAACGTCTTGATATAGTATCATTTGCCTCTTACATTTCAGCGTGATTACCGTTAGAGTCATATTTTTAGCTAGGCTGATAAATATAATTGATGTTAATAGAATTGGTCTTGTTATGTTTTGATAAATTTTGTTTTATACTTTAAATTTTAGCATGGTGAATAATAGGAGAAGAGCATCCGATAATGCGGAGCAAGAAGCTCCAGATGAGGCCTCTTCTAGACGTTTAGTTCCCGCTAGACGAAGAAGGGGTAGACCTGCAAGACGTGAAATCAATCAAGATGAAGAGGAGCAGGAAAATCTAAATGAGGAATTTACAGCTGAAAATCCCCCTGGAATAGATACACTAATGATTGGACTTCAGCGAGCTATAACAGCAATGAACGACATGTTGATACAACAACAGCAGTTCTTTCAGACTCAGCAGCAACAGCAATAGATGCATCCACCTATGCCCGATCCAGCAGCGCAACCATTTCAGCCGGCTCCACCTCCTACTGTTCCGAGGGCTGCTAATGATAACCTTTATGACAGGTTCGCTCCACCTCCTACTGTTCCGAGGGCTGCTAATGATAACCTTTATGACAGGTTCATTCGTTACAAACCACCTAAGTTTACAGGCATTGAAGACGCTCATTCCTTTCTAGCCAGAATCAGAGAGTTCTGCATTGAGTTGGGTTGTGATGACGAGAGATCCATCATATTTGCAGGCCACAGAATGGAGGGTGTGGCTGAAATGTGGTTCAGAGATTATGTCCTGCCTGTTGTTAATGGGATGATCTGGCAACAATTTTCTTCTCTCTTTATTGACCGCTTCATACCAGAAGGAACTAGAAGGGCAAAAATGAGGGAATTTGAGTCCTTGGTTCAAGGGAATTTGTCTGTGGATGAGTATGCTACTAGATTCATAGAATTGAGCAGGTATGCTCCGGGGTCTGTACCTGATGAGGGCACAAAGGTATACAGGTTTATCAGAGGGTTGAATGCCGTATATGCGACTCTATTCCAGTAGAGGGGGCAAGATTTTAATGCTGTGGTAGATTTAGCCAGACAAATGGAGGCCAAATATATTTCTGATGGACTTATCTCAGCCAGAAGGGGTGATAGAGCCGTAGCTCCACTTGAGACTCCAGGCGTACCAGGGATGAGTGGATCCTTCGTTATGGGTGCTCAGTCTTCGAGTTCTCAACTCCAGGGAAGAGGAAATTTTGGCAGAAGAAAAGGTAAAAGTAGACAGTGGCCAAGAAAGAGTACTCATTCAGGTGGTTCCAGTAGTGGTCACAGTTCAGGTAGCAGCAGACCAAGTGTGACTGTCTGTCGCAGGTGTGGCAAGGCTCATAAAGGAGAGTGCGACCTTGATTCTAACTGTAACATCCTAGTGAGTTGAGTTGAGTCATTTCATAGGAGTAAGTTGAGTTGGGTTGAATCAAACCTTGTTGGGGTAGAATGAGAGTATAAGTGGACTTATGTGAATGTAAAGTTTGGACTTGTTTGCATCAAAACATACAGCTTGTGTAAAGTTTGGACTTGTTTGCATCAAAACATACAGCTTGGGTATGAAGTTGTAGCCTTTGTATACTTGAGGTACCAATTAGCTATGTTACACAGCCAACTCACGTCTTCTAGAGACTACCTGTTCTTATCAGTTCAAGTTTCTATTTTCATGTTTATCATTCTCCTCTTACTTGTCCCGCTCTTTTCCTTTCACTCTTCAAACATAGTTAAGCATTAAGTCAACTGCAAGTAAGTAAAATTCCTTGAAGTGTGATGTTATTTCCTATTTCATTGAGTTATATTGGAGATGAGTTATGAAGGACTGGTAATGGTGAGAAAACAGGGGAGGAAGTGAATAAATGAAGTAAATATTGAGTTTATGTTGAAACAGAGTCCCAGCTTTTGAAAACAAGGTTTGATATCTCTTGTTATTTTCCCATGTTCTTTGCATGAAAAATTGTATGGAGTGTTGTTCATGAGATCATGTGTTGATTATTGTTGAATGATGCAAGAGTGGGGAAAGGATGTGAAAACAGGGGACAGGGGATGGAATGAGTTTATGAACCAGAGTTTGCTGGAAATTTTACCAGCAACTTCATCTTGATTTTGACCCCAGTAAATGATGGAACTAGGAATTGTCACAGAAGAGTTATTTGTCCCTTTTTGTGTTAGCTTTACGCGCGTTTTGGAATCACTCAATTTGAAGTTGTATATTGAGAGTTATGGCCAAAAGAACACAGACTGCACAATCTGGAAACACGTCGCGCGCCCGCGGGGTTTGGAAAGCAAGTCGCGCTCGCGACTTTCACATGCGCGGTCGCGACTTTGGTCAAAAACTCTCTGACTCTCAAATGGCACATTTCGCGCTCGCGAACTCCACAAGCAATTTACAGCGGTCGCGACTTGAGCCAGAAACCTCTCTGACTCTCAAATGGTACATCTCGCGCTCGCGAGGTCTGAAGACGCGCTCGCGACTTGGTCTCCCGCTCTCGACTAAGGTTGCGCGGTCGCGACTTTGAGCCAGAAACTCTCTGACTCTCATTTGACATTCTCGCGCTCGCAACTTGGCATGTCGCGCTCGCGACTGATGCTTTGACATTCTTTTTGTCTTCATTTCATATGCAATTAACTTCCTTTGCTCATCATGCATGCATCCAATCATTGTAAAACAAAAATACAATATAAGAACATGGATTAAAACAACATGTAAGCATTTCTTTAAAACAAAAACAACACGATATGATGTGAAATTAAATCAACATGATGAACTATGAAGTTATGCAACCATTTATGGTTATTTATGGTGTTATATTATTACATGTACATATAGCTCATTGAGGTTAGGTAGAAACCTGTAGATTAAGGCTTATGTTGCGACATAGAATAGCGATCTGCGCCCCATACAGTTTTGGAACTCCGGCTACAGGCCGTATGCAGTGGACTATGATTATACAGGCCATATGGCAGGCCAAGCATACAGTTTTTCAACAGTTTCATACAGTTTATCTTATCACTTCGGTTTCGCTATAACCTTATGGAGCCATACAGATATTTTGACTTAATCATACAGTATAATAAAGAGAAAAAAAGACTATCAAAGTAAACTGAACATGACATGATATGTGTGCTTACATTCCATATGTGAGTAAATGTGTATTTATTTCCACATATGTATATGCTTATATGTTTCTTCATTCACTGAGTTTAATCAAAGCTGCAGAGTTCATACAGCATAAAGAACATCAGGTAAGATCATGAAAGTATAATGTTATATATGTTCACAAGTTTATTTATTTCATTCTTAAGGAGCCATACAGTCATGAGTTGTTATGAATCATAACTTATATGATGTGACTAAAAGTGCACAAGTCATACGGCATAATGAATAGCAAGTAAGACGATGAACATATACTGTTATGTACTCTTACATATTTATTGATTTCATGCATACAACACAATGAACAGCAGGTAAGACTATGATAGTATCATAATGTGTAATTTAAGGTTCATGTAAAGGAGTTATGTGTAATTTAAGGTTCATGTAAAGGAGTTATGAGAGAAATAGATTAATTATATTTATGAGTTAGAAGTTTATTCGTTGCTACAAAGAGACATTCATGTTGAAAGTTATTGATTCTATGAGTATCAATGCTTTATGAAATTGGTATTTGAAGTTAGTTGCCATCGCATTTTGTTTAGTATGTGAAGTATGGGAACCACTGAGTTTTATACTCAGCGCGTCGATTTTTATCACGCGCAGGTTGAAGATCGTGATTGCTACTTGAAGACTTGAGGAGTACCTTCCAAGCAGAAGTGACTAACTTGGTCATAGTAGATTGAGAGTTGTAATATTAAAAATTTATGGCATGTATAAGTTTTCCATTTGTTAGAGCTTTTGTAATGGGAATTATAAGTGAAACATGTAATTATTTTGGTGTAAGTAGTTGGAGATAAGAATAATATTTATGAAATGATTAAAGATGAAATAGTTTACTCTAGTTGGTATGATTAGGTCCTGCAAACTTGATATAGATTTTGAATGAAATTAATTGCTAGATATTAAATGCTTTTGAGGATTTATATAATTATATAGAGATATATATATATAAAGGGTTATTGTGTTATGATGCTTCTTGGAGATGTTGGAAGTTTAGAGATGCTTCTTGGAGATGTTGGAAGTATTAGAGTGTAATTAAGGAATGTTTTATATTCATATTTTTGCCCAGTATGATATCAGCATGAAAGATATAGTTTCAACCAGAATTGTAGTCTCGGCTTCCGGTTCATTTCGGGTTAACGGGTGGGCCCGGAGGGGTGTTTAACACTAACACCTGTTTTAGGTGTCACGCCAAGACGGGACATCACCAGACGGGACACTATGCTAGAGACTGTCCATTTCCTCTGTCTCGATATATGCCACCCCAGTTTTCCATGGGTAGTGTGTCCAGACCTCCCTTCTCTACACCGTCGGCATCTGGTACTAGACTTATTGGCCAGCAGGGCCATGGTTCTATTGGTAGGGGCAAAGGCCAGAGTTCGGGACAGAATTTGCATGCTGCTGGAGCACAACCCCGACTCTTCCATTTGACTCAGGGAGATGCTCAGGCATCTAATGCCGTGGTGGCAGGTACTTTCATTATTTCTTCTTTGGAAGCATGAGTATTATTTGACCTTGGTACCACCCATTCATTTGCATCTCCTAGGTTTGCTGTGAAAGTAGACAGAGTGCCCAATCAGTTAGACATTCCCTTGCTGATATTGACGCCTTTAAGTGAACCTATTTATACTAATTCAGTCATTTTAAATTGTCCTATTGTTCTTGAAGGCGTAGACTTACCTGCAGATCTAATTATCTTAGATGTGATAGATTTTGATGTGATCTTGGGAATGGATTGGTTAGCAAAGTATAGCAAGTACGATCGCAGAGGTCCATTGTAAAGCGAAAGAGATTGTTTTTAATGCCTACCAGATGGCAAAAGAAACCTCGTTTATTTGGTGGATAAGAATATAGCTCCTTATAATCTGATTTCTTTGCATCAGGCTTAGAAAGTGTTGAGGAAGGGGATTGTCAAGGGTACTTAGCCGTTGGTAAAGGATCACCACGACAGGAACTCGTAAAGTAGAAAGTATGCCGATCGTGAATGAGTTCATCGATGTGTTTCCAGAAGAATTACCCGGACTTCCTCCAGACAGGGAAATTGAATTCTGTATTGATCTGATTCCTGGCATAGAACCTATTTCCATGCCACCGTATCGAATGGCACCAACGAAATTAAAAGAGTTGAAAGAACAGTTACAAGAACTGTTGGACAAGGGTTTCATCAGACCAAGCACTTTGCCTTGGGGTGCTCCAGTCCTATTTGTGAAGAAAAAGGATGGTTCGCTTCGCCTATGCATTGATTATAGGCAATTGAATAAGGTGACTGTGAAGAACAAATACCCGCTTCCTAGAATTGATGACTTGTTCGATCAATTGCAAAATTGATGACTTGTTCGATCAATTGCAAGGGGCTACATGTTTCTCAAAGATTGATCTTAGATCTGGTTACCATCAGTTAAAGATCAAGGAACAAGACATTCCTAAAACGGCTTTCAGAACCAGATATGGTCATTATGAATTCCTTGTCATGTCCTTCGGACTCACAAATGCCTCAGCAGCTTTCATGGATTTGATGAACCGTGTGTTCAAGCCATACTTAGACCGGTTTGTGATCGTGTTCATAGATGACATTCTAGTTTATTCTAGAACTGAAACAGATCATGGTCATCATCTGAGAACTGTGCTACAAACTTTGAGGGAGCATCAGTTATATGCCAAGTTTTCTAAATGTGAATTCTGGCTGGAAAGTGTAAATTTCTTGGGTCATGGCTGGAAAGTGTAAATTTCTTGGGTCATATGGTATCTAAGGATGGAATCATGGTTGATCCTAAGAAGATTGAGGCAATCATCGATTGGCCGAGACCGACTACTGTCACTGAAATTCGCAGCTTTCTGGGTTTGGCTGGCTATTATCGTCGTTTTGTGCAAGACTTTTCTCGAATAGTAGCACCATTAACCAGATTGACCCAGAAGAATGCTAAGTTTGTATGGTCCGATTCTTATGAAGCAAGTTTTCAGAAGTTGAAAGAGTGCTTAACCACAGCTCCGGTATTAGCCTTGCCATCAGGTGATGAAGGATATGTAGTGTTTTGTGATGCATCCAGAATGGGGTTGGGATGTGTTTTAATGCAGCATGCAGCATGGTCGAGTCATTGCGTATGCTTCTAGACAGTTGAAGAAGCATGAACAGAATTATCCCACTCACGATTTGGAAATGGCTGCGATCATTTTCGCACTAAAAATATGGAGGCATTACTTGTATGGTGTATCCTGTGAAATATACACTGATCATA